GACTTTATCCACCAACTATAACACACAAAATACTTGAAATCGGGAAGAAATTTCACGCCTTTTCCTCTCAATGTTCGTTTTCCAATCATAGTGTCACTAATGTGTCTCTATAAACAGTAGTTGTCACTTTTCTTATGAATAATTTTGTATTTGTTCTCCACGCTTCCGTTGACAGCTTATCCCTCTTCGCATTCACTCACCAAGAATTTCTAGCGAATCATTTTAGTGACAGTTTTTGTTATATTATGAGTAATACTAGAGTTTGAAGCAATCGATATGGAATAAGCGGTGAATTGTAGTTTTAGTTCATTACAAAGCGCTTATCGTGTTAGCGATGGAAGCTTACTGAATCGCAGAAGCTCGTTCAAGCTTAAACTGCAGTTGGCGGTTTTAAGGATAAAGTGGGTGAAGGGAAAATGGAGTCGGCTTCAGGAATGCGGTAAAGTGGGGAAGGGGAAGAAATGAGTGGAATGCCATAGAAAAGGAATATTTTAAAAAATGGGTACTAAAAAGTTCAATTGAAACTATACAAAAATCAATGCTAAAAAAAGAAATGGGGGTGAGAAAGAGGGGAAATGAGGGAAAACGAGAAGGGAGGAGAGAAAAAGATGATGAGAAAAAGACTTGAGAAGGGAGGAGAGAATGAGGGAATATGAGGAAAAGGGTCGAAGAAAGATAAGGGAGGAGAAAAAGATGAGAAAAAGAGATGGAGGAAGATGAGAAGGGAGGAGAGAAAGAGGGGGAGATGAGAAAAAAGAGATGGAGGTGGATGAGAAGGGAGGAGAGAAAGAGGGGGAGATGAGAAAAAAGAGATGGATTAGGATGAGAAGAGAGGAGATGACAAAAAAGAGATGGAGGAGGAGGAGAAGGGAGGAGAAAAATAGGGGAAGAAGAAATGAAGGAGAATGAGAAGGGAGGAGAGAAAGAGGGGAAGATAAGAAAAAGAGATAAGGAAGAATGAGAAGGGAGGAGAGAAAGAGGGGGAGATGAGGAAAAGAGATAAGGAAGGATGAGAAGGGAAGAGAGAAAGAGAAGAAGATGAGAAAAAGATGAGGGAGGATGAAGAGGAGAGAAAATGAGGAAAATGAACGATGAGGAAAGGGTAGGTGATGAAAAGGGTGAGCAGTATGAAAAGAGGAGGAAGGGAAAAACAAAAGAAGTAATAACATTAATGATTTGTTTTACATTTAAGTCATTTGTCAACTCTTCGCTGATATCAGTTTTCGGAGTTAAAATGAAATAAATGCTGATTTGGTAAAACATTCAAACTTGTCCTCTTGAAATAAGGACATAACTCAATCTTCGTTACTTTTATCCGATATTATTTTCTCATCTTCTTCAGGTGCCGTGTCTCCTCAGGACGTAGGTAATCATGGCTCTCCACAACTTCCTGTCCTATGTAGCTCATAATAAAATTTATCATTTTTTTTATCTCACCTAAACCTTGTTCCACCATCCATTTACTCAAGCTCACTATCATTATGGATCGTTTTCTTTGTCTCTCTTGCCTTCAATCTGTCCTGTGAGTATTAGATATTCCAAGCCGTCTTTCTTCATTGTGTCCTAAAAATTTAAGCTGTCTCTTCTTAATGTTAAGTATAAGTTTTTTTTTTTTGTTTTTTTTTTCATTTTCTCTAGAACTTCGTCATTGCTCAAAAGTTCGGTCCATGGTATCCTAAACATCCCTTTGTGGATTCACATTTCTGATGCTTCGAGTCCTTTCTTCATCTTTGCTATCTTAGTAAACATAAATCTTAGTTTCTTTTTCTTCTTTTTACAATGCCTCTTTTGCAAACAGCTTGGTTTCACCCCCTCTCATCCCCCCCAAAAATTAAAGCAGAGCCCAACATTATTTTCTCATCTTAAATTTCTCGTTGTTCTGTTTGAATTTAGACGTGTAAGGGTATATAACGAATCCAACTGGAATTGGAAATCGACTATTTGATTAACAATTCCAAGCCGTTATTCATTACGCCACCTGCACACCCAGAATCTGGTATTCTCAAGCGGTTATTCATCTAGATACTAACCTGGATCAACGTTGCTTAACTGAGGCGTTCGTACGGCAACCGGTATTTCAACGTGATGTACCGCTTAATCCAGAAAGAGCCAGTTATCGCTTCTCGGCTCTCATTCAAGGACAAAACATTTAAATATGTACACAACTACTAAAAAGATAGAATATATATATATACTTCCAGATCAAGGATTTCTTTTTTTTTTTTGTTTTACTTTTTTTAGTTTCTTTTTCTCTCTCTCTCTCTCTCTCTCTCTCACACTCTCTCTCTCACTCACTCACTCTCACTCACTCTCTCACTCACTCACTCACTCTCTCACTCTCTCTCACTCACTCACTCTCTCTCACTCCCCTCTCTCTCACTCCCTCTCTCTCTCTCTCTCTCGTTTTTTGTAAGGTCATCACCACATGAATATTTTTCCCCATCTTTGCTCTTCCTTCTGTCTTTTAATATATTTGTATAGATGATCTAAATACATACATTTTTTTAAACGTCCATTTTTTAAGGTCATAATAAAATTTAGGACCCCACCCACTCACAGACTATTTAAGAAACAGAAAGAAAATCTTAAGATTAAGAAAATCTTTTTTTTTTTTTATACCAAGTCCCTACAGGATGTACATGGCTCTCAACGATTCCCTCTCCTTCGTAGCTTTTAATATATATATATATATATATATATATATATATATATATATATATATATATATATATATATATATATATATACGTTTATGTTATCCTAAAACTTTTCCTGCCAGCCATTTACTCACGCTCACTAAGTAGGTAACGCATTGTTTTCCTCTGTCCTGTGAGTATCAAATCTTCCACTCTCTCTTTCGTCCTTATGTGCCCTAAAAATTTTAAATCTCTCTTTCTGATGTTAAGTATCACCTTTCATTTTGTTTCCATTTTCTCTAAAACTTCTTCGTTGCGGACATGTTCTGTTTATGGTATCCTCATCATCCTTCTGTAGAACCACATTTCAGTTGGTTCAAGTCCATTCTTCATCTTTGCCGGGATTGTCCAGCATTCGTTTTAACGACGTTTTTTTTTTCTGTTTCTTAATACTTTGCTTAGCTTTTGGAAGTCACCTTTGGCTATCTCAATGCGCCTTCGGATTTCAGTATCGCGACGAAGATAGAAAAAAAGTTAAATGGAACATAGAAGCGACAAAGAAATTGGCACAATCACAAAGAAAAGTCACGGATATTAATGTTAATACGAAAAAAGATTGTCAATAAAGACGAAAAGTAAAGAAAAAGAATTGTACAGAAATAATTTTACATGTGGACAGCGTTTGAACAAGGAAAAACATTTAACAGATTTTAAATCAAGACAAACCCATGTTAGATAATTTTTCTGTAGAACAGTCGTTTAGATGACAGTGCGTTAATAACACCCAGGAAGAAAACTGCAGAAACTCTTGGACAAAAAAACGTACAATTCTATTATGCAGGGACTGTTTCAAGGTGTATCATACTGTTAAAAAATGTTTAAAGAAATGTCAGGTTCCGACATTTTAATTAAATCGAAAATTAGCCTAAAATTCTTTTTTTTTTTTTTTACCCATTTGACGTGTACGTTCGCGCAACACCTTACCCGAACTTTTTATGGTTAAACCCGCCTTTGTGTTTTGTTCCATTGGAGCGCGCTTGCGGATGAATATCCTGATAAAACCGGATTTGATTGATGTCATAGGTCGACTTTATATTTGCCTACACACGCACGTCATATTCGCAAACACACGTCATATTTGCACACACACACACGCACCTCAAATTTGCCGACGCAGCTCATATTTACACGCACACACGCATCTATACATGCCATTATTTTAAAGTATTTTTAGTGGACACAATTTTTGGGCCTTGTGTATTAGATGAGAGAAAAGCAAGAATTAAAACGAGAAAGTAAACATAACTGAAAAAAATTAAATTCATTATTTTTTTTTTTTGAATTAAAAAAAATTAAAATTCATTACGTTTTTAAGAAAATAAAAGAAAATCAACTTCATTATTTTTTTTAAGAAAGTAAAAAAAACAAACTAAACGGTGACTATTAAAAAAATAAAAATAAAAAGTCAATCCCGTCATAATAGCTTTCTTTCCGTTTTCTTTCTGTGCGTCTGTAGATATTAAGGAAAGAAACGATGCGCATGCGTATATTACAGAGTATCAAATTGCGTATTTGGTTATGTTTTTTAAAAAATAAATCATTTTAAAAAAAAAAAGAAAAAAAGCTGCCATACGAATTAATAAACACATTCCATACCCAGGTCAGAAATAAAATGTAGTTAGTCGGCCAGAACGAAAAAAAAAATGGCGTGCACATCAGCGGACCCGAAGTAGATGGAGAAAAATCAATAAAACTAACGGTCATATAAAAACAGGTTGAGGGGAGGAGTCGGTTTCTGATTGAATAGCAGCAATGATTGGAACGAAAGGCTTTGGAAGGAACGAAGAAAAAAAGGGACGAAAATAAAGGAACGTAAATTAGCATTGTAAACCTAAATCTCTCTTTGATTTTTGTACTTTGCTTTGTGAAAGAAAACATTCTCTTTTTTTCCTTTTGCTTGTTCTTATATAGCTGACTTAAGACATCTGTCACAGAACAGACGTTTTCGTCTAGCCGCCAGATATGATATTCGCTTTGAAGTGTCACGTTGGTATGATTTTTATCAGCAGATAACAAAAAAGAAGAACAAAAACTCAAACGTAAAGCTTGAGAAAACCAAATGATTCTCTGACAATCTTTTGTAGTTGCTTTACAGTTGCTGTCAATTCACAGAAGGCCTCTGAGACTGTGACTAAGCATCTGTCATTAAGCAGTGTTTAGTGTTCATATCATGCAGTTCACTGGTAGTTGGTTCGTTCGTTCCTGACTGCATATTCCATGGATTTTTTTACTGCCTTTCAAATATCTTTTTTAGCCTATCAGCCGATTTGAATCTCGTGCAAACCAACCTTTGTATCTACTGTAAAAAGAAATCTCTGTCTACAAGTTTGTATCTACTGTAAACCAGACCTCTGTCGATCGATTTGAATCTAGTATAAATCGCATTGTCTATCAGTTAACTCATTGTGATTTTTTTCATGGAGAATTATATTCGAAATGAAATAGTGTATGTAACAAATTAATCTATAATCGACCGGTTTGAATCTACGGTAAATCAGACTTGTGTCGACGGTTTTGAATCTGCGCTAAATTGGACCTGTGTCGACGGGTTTAAATCAGCGCTAACCTGGACCTGTGTCGACGGGTTTTAATCTGCGCTAATCTGGACCTGTGTCAACGGGTTTGAATCTGCGCTAACCTGGATCTGTGTCGACGGGTTTGAATCTGCGCTAACCTGGACCTGGGTCGACGGGTTTGAATCTGCGCTAAACTGGACCTGTGTCGACGGGTTTGAATCTGCGCTAACCTGGACCTGTGTCGACGGGTTTGAATCTGCGCTAACCTGGACCTGTGTCGACGGGTTTGAATCTGCGCTAACCTGGACCTGTGTCGACGGGTTTGAATCTGCGCTAAACTGGACCTGTGTCGACGGTTTTGAATCTGCGCTAAACTGGACCTTTGAATGTAGTATAAAAAGGACTGTCTATCTCTGAATTAATTTGTGATTTATTTTTTTGGAGAATTATATTCGAAATGAAATAGGATTAACAAGTGACTAAATTGACTAACGTAACCTATAAGTGAAACCTGTTTTATATTCTATTATTTTGTTGCAAAAAAAAAACGTATTGAATATGAATAAAATTTCATCATTAACTTGTCTATTACCGAACGATTTTTTTATAACGATTTCTAAGAAATTTTTTCTTCTTTTTCATATAATTCTTCTTGGATGCCAACAGGTATGTAACTACGCTTTCTTATTTTCTATGTTTTAAAGATGAAATTGAGCCATTAAATAGACATATAAAATATAAGTATAACTATACTTATATGTTATTGCTTTCTGCGATGGAAAGTTTCACGTGGACACTTAGAAGGTGATTCTGTTGTCTCATAATTCTAAGGAACTGGGTATCTCGTCGCTCTTGCTGCTCGAGTATTATGAGACATCAACATCTAATTGTCCACATTAAACTTTCAGTCGCGAAAAGCAGTTACATATGAGTATTGTTTTACTTATGTTTTATATTGGCTCTGTTTTGCATATATTTTTTATATATTACATTGTGCACTATATTTATAGCGTCCCCGTTTTGTCTTATATGGTGGACTCTCCAATCGTGA